GGCGGGCTCCCCCCTCTCAGCCACGTCCTGGGGGCCCGGGCCTGGCCAGACGCTGCTAGGGGCCGCTGTGCTGCCCCGAGAGCCTGTCGCTCACCCATGTGGGACTGAGCCTGGGGCCGCAGAGACCAGCTGATTCTGAGGCCCAGGGAGGCCCGAACCGGGGAGCTGGTGCCACCTGCAGACCGTGTGCCCAGAGCCAGATGCGCCTGGTCAAACCGGCATGCCTGGGCCGACACCCAGCCTTTGCGCTCTGTAGGCGGCCATGACGGGCAGACAGAGCCTGCACCCCCTGGGCCTCCTGACTGCGCTTCCACGTCCACCCAGGGCCCACCTCGGCCATGACTGACCTGCCCCCTCATCACCAATGCCCTTGTATCATGGCCTCTGAAGCTGGGGTGCAGGAGGAGGGTGGGCAGCTGGAGCCCCAGCACCCCACGCCCACCCTCTGCAGCCTCACTTCACAGGGCGCTTCACTGCCAGAGAGCGACTGCTACCCGGGTGTCTGTCCCTCCCAGCAACATAGACATGGGACAGACGTGCAGGCAGTTGGGACCAGCAGATGGCACGACAGTTACCTCGCTGGACACCCACTCACCAACTGCAGTCTGAGTCCCGGACCCAGTGGTTTGAAACTCATGTTAGGCACATGTGTGTGCGTGCTCAAGATCCTTGGAGGAGAAGGGGTCGTGGTGTGGCCATCGCCCCGGGGGATGATTTCTTGCTCTCTCTCTCTCTCCCCCTAGTGAGCACACATGCCCTGAGGCAAAACCTCTAAAAAAATAAAATAGTTTGGGCAGCCTTTGGTCACTGGCCAGAAGGCTGTGCAGGGTTGGCCCTGGGTGCAGGGCCCACCAAGCCAGGGCCCGGCCTTGCTGTGTGGGAGGCAAAGGGAGTCTAATCGCTAAGGGAGGTGGGCTGACTCAGACAGCTTCGCCCAAGGTCTCAGCATGTGCCCTCATGGCCCTTCTGCTGGCTTCTACTCCCACCTGCCTCCCTCCCCCCCCCCCCCGCCGGCCTCTTCTTTTCTGAGAGGGAGGAAAGGAGAGGGAACAAGACAGTCCTGGCTCCACTGAGCCCCTGCCGGGCCTCCCAGGTGGCTAGAACCCAACATCACCCCACACCTGGGCCACCGCGTCAGGCCAGGAGCTAACCCAGCCTCCTGGGGGCCCGGCCTCACCAGCCGGGTTTCTCTCTGCAGTCTCAGACCTCCCTTCCGTGCCCAACATCCCACCCCCGCCTGGCCTTTGCCGTCATTGTCCCCTGCAGTGTGAGGCCAGGGCTATGCTGTGGCCCTCGTGGAGCCTGAGCAGGACCACGGCACCTGACAGGGACGTCCTCCCCGACACACCTCTCAACGTCCTGCCGGAGCCTTGCCGCTTCCTGCTGCAGCGCCTGGGCCTGCAGGTCCCTGGAGACCGCCTCCTGGGACATTCGGGCCACCTGGGCCTCCCAGCTGGCCTTCAGAGCTGACGCATCTTCACGGAGCCTGAAGGAGGAGAGCGGTGTGTCGTGTGGTCCCGGCTCACGCACCGGCTCCTTCCACGATGCTCCTGCCACAGGCCGCACACGCACACACGCACACACACCCCGCCGGCACAGAGCCCCAGCGTCCTGGCCCAGGCTAAGGCAATGGTCCCAACAACCCCGCCAGGTGCCCGCACCCAGCCCCATGCACGGCGGGAGGCAACATGCCCGGCTGACCACACTGACAGCCCCCCTGCACAGCAGGGTGCCTGGGCCCGGCTCAGAGGCCTCCTCAGTGGAGCAGCATCCAGGCCCCACCAGGGCCTCGACCAGACCACAAAGCCATGGAGACGCTGACCAGGGCAGCTGTCGCTCTCCCCCTGCTGGCCGGCCGCGGGTCTGCAGCCACCATGGCTGGGGGGCGGGGGCCG